TTCCTCCCAGCATGCCCAGAAAACAAAGAGACTCACAGGGCAGTATGTGAGGGGGCTAGCTGTGAGTATGTAGTCAGCCACCCCCCATATAACAGGGGCCCGGGCCGGTCCAGAGCAGTATTAAAGGGCTGTGGCCCCTGATTACCTCAGATGCCGCAGGGGGCCCATGGGGCAGCTGCCTTAGGGCCCCCAGGAGTAACTGGGCCCGGGGCAGTTGCCCCTTTTGCCCCTCCTTAAAGACGGCCCTGATCTAATGCAAATAACATTTCCTTAAAAAATTTGATCTAGGCAGGGGCTAATTAATATAAATAATTTTAATAACTTCTGTACCCAAATACTAAATTTAACCCCACTCTAACCCTATACCCAATAAGCATAAGTGCCCTTTATACCACAAATATAATATCTCACTAAACCATCTATGTAATCTAAGACTGATGTTAGCCCACTCCCAAATCTTAACCCCCCCAATACCCTAACCACATCTGACATCAGTTTTTGCCCTGCATGCATTTAATTTACACAGCTGCATACACTCACTGTACTCACAGGTTCAGACACAATATATCACAAGCATAAATGTGCACATACATATAAATATTTAGCTGCCAAACACAAATTAATGTGTTTCAGACTTTTTATGCCTAAAGTGTTCAGTTAATAAATTAATTAAACTAACTTTTTTCTTCTTTATTTTTGTTGGAGGCGGCAGCAGGGGTTTCCTTAAAATTGTGTTTACGGGCACCTTACATGTAAATTCAGTCCTGCTTACCTGTATGGAACAAATTAGAAGTGACTGTTCCACTCTAAGAGCCATATTCTGCCTTTCTTAGTGTTGGTTGAAGTTTTATGTTGTTTTTTTTTGTTTTGTTTTGTTCCTTGTGCTGTGTAGGTTTTAATCACTCATTTATGGTGGGAGCAAAACGTAATTGCAATCACTTATCTCCATATTTAATTCATTCCATGGCGATATAAATACTTGATGGAGTTAAAAATAGGCTGGCGGTTTTCTCCTGGGTGTTTACATTTTCCTATTGTTCTATCCTTTATTTGATTTTCTTCATTATGTGTTTTTTAAACTCCTATCATAGTTCATTTGCATGCCATTATCCTAAATAGCTGTAACAGTCTGCTATTAAAGCTTCCCATTTCTCGTCCTGAAGGGCCATTGTAAAGCTTGCTTTTGGGACAGAATGCCTAAAAATATGAAATATAATCATTCCAAGAATCTTAGTCACAATTCATCAGCGTAACTCTGTACACATACCTAGACAGATCTTCAGTGCAAATATGTTATGCGTGATTTTAGATTTCATGTACCTCGTATCCCAACACAGATGCAATATAAATTATATAAATAATGCTACAAAAACGTATAGTATATCTAGATTTGTTAAAATGGTAATTATAATACAATAATATGTTATAGCCCTTTTCTGTTATAACATAATGCAATGAACGATTGCAAGAGCCCTACACTGTTTTTGAATGGAAAAGCCCTTGCTGGCATGTCCCCCCTTTATAAAAATAAAATGAATAAACTTACCTGGGATTCTATGCCTAGGCCAAGTTCTCCCTGCAGTCCCATCCTCTTTCAGTGATGTCCCATTATCTTGCTGCAGGGGAAGGAAGAGCTATGGGAAGACTCACGGAGGCACAGGAGGGGTGCCTATCGGCACTGGTCAATAGTAACAAGCATGGTTACCTTTTATGCCCAGAATTGACATAAGCAGCCCAGTCTGGTAATGACACTGCAATAGATGGAATTAAATTAAATTACTAAATACCAGAATATAACTCATAATTACTGAAAGTCTGCACATACAAACCCGAAGCACCCTTAACACTTCAAATCACTGACATGGTCACGTTGCTTAGACTAACCCTTTAAGGATATCCCAGAGTAAACAAAGATGAGTTTGGCACTTTTATTGACATCGATAAAAGTAAGTTAGCCCCTTTTGGGAAGTTTCTTAAGCTAATGATGGCATTTCAGGATTCGACACCCTGCTTCAATAAATTACATCAGGTAATATATGATGCCATAAGGGGTTTATTGACTAAACTTTGAATTGTTGTAAATTGCTAAATGTATGCAGCAATAGCTGATCTGAAAAAATTATCCACGTAAGCTATAGTCACAGTTTTCCATTCACTTTAATTTAGACTTTGGTGAATATATTCCTAAGTGTTTAATGGAAACTTTGTGCAATCACAGTTTGACCACCATTGGGTGAGTTTTTGTTATTTATAAATGTGTTTTGGAAACTTGTAGGCATGTATAATACCCTGAAGAGTTAATTAATGGAAAAAATGCAGCTCCTGAGATTGCTGGATGCAAGTATTTATTTATATGATGCAGTTTACACTGTAGCCCCCTCAGAAACTTTAGACAAAAATATTTCACACATACACTGAATAATATAAATTAATTCACAATGGGCACAAAAACACATGCTGCTTTAAAAAATAGATTTAGAGTGTATTGTAAAAATTATTTTGTTTCACACCAGCGTTTCAATCTGTATCTGATTATTATATTATACTATTACTCAATGTAAGCAGCGCTGCACACATATTTGTAACCAGGCGAGTTGGATGCACAGGAACAGAGGGCGTTTAGGGCCCTACTCAATAAGCTTAAATGCTAGGGGGAGTGAGGTATAGTAACACAAAAGGAAAGGGGTAGAAAGGTAGATTGCTAGAATAGTATAGTATTCACTGAGGACTTAATGTTTGTTTGTTATATTGAAGAATGGGTACCCAATCTTGTAATTGGGCACTATGGCTCTGTAATAATACATATATTTATGAGATATAGTTGGAAGACTATCTACATTAATCCAATGATGCAAAAACATGCAATGTTTTGTTTTTTTATTCGCCTAACTGAATTGCAAGACAAGGGTTTCTCAAAAACCTCGATCCAAACTTATGTTGCATGTATTATGTGTGTGCATGAGAAAGTGTATTTTTTTTTTTTTGTATTTGCATACGTGGGTATGTGTATATGTATGTATGTGCACCTCTTCCTGAGTTATGTTTCAAAGCTGTTGTATACAGCAAAAACATTTTTTTAAATTTTTTGTTTGCCATTTGCATGTTTAAAATGGAATGAGGCAAAAAGGTAGTTTTTTTTAAACTTATTTTCATATGTCCACCCAGAATCCCTTGCAGTAGTAACATCACTGCAAATTTCCGATTTTTGTGGGAAAAGCAAGTCTTATGGCTTGTCTGGTGTGCAGATCTGTGTTTAACATTGTATTGAATATATATATATATATATATATATATATATATATATATATATATATAAATGGGTAAGCAAGGCACTCCTCCTGAAATTCCTCTTGTAATAGATCAAATGCCTAGGTGCAATCCCGCATCCAAATATGCATAAATCAATAAGGGGAGCACACCAGGACTTCAGTATAGTGAAAAAAAAGTATTTACTGTATCAAAAATATGGTACAAATTCTGTGCAAAGGAAATCAACGTTTCGACCCTGCTGGGGTCTTTATCAAGATCACAGTGAAGTGTAGTTATAGTGAACAATATATACATACAGATGAAATAACGCTTACCAATCAGATAATCGGGACCCCGATCAACTACAGGACCCGGAAGTGAGGAGACCACGTGAACGGTGCATAGCATGTGACTAGGTTGCTAAGCAACCTAACAGATAGTGGCTGTACTGCAAACAAGAGATCGGGCGACCGGCACCGCCGTGATACCCGGAAGTGCTCAAACCACGTGGGGGTTGTCATGTGACAAGAGTGCATGTGACGAGGTTGCTATGCAACCAGTCTAACAGTGTCAGAACTCCCTTCTCTAAACAGAGATCGGAGACACAAAAACGAGCACTACATATGGAGGAAAAGAATCAAATAAAGACCCCAATCTACGGATGATCTAGATTGGGGTATATATATGTATATATATATATATATATATATATATATATATATACACACACACACAAATATATTCTGTAATATTATCTTCTGTACAGAATGGTCTGTGTTTTTTTTTTTTTTCTGGTTAGTGTAATAGATCAGGGTCATGGTATCTGCACACTAAATCCCTCACATTTGTGAAATCAATTGACTGAGAGATTTTAATTATGAATGCATGGATGGTGCAACTACTAATGGTTCATATCCTAATCTAAACACATCCCAAAAACATTGCAGAATGGAAGCTAGAAGCACTGCGGTGATTAACATGCAAATAGCCAATTAGTATGTAAAGAATCTAAATTTTCCCACAGGAAAATGATTCCCAAAGTTCTCTACATGCACAAAATTAAAAGAAAAAGAAAAAGCCAAGATATGAGAGAAATGAATTGCAGCATTTTTTAAAAAAATTCTGCTGGCATTGTAAGGGTTACCTAATATTGACGATTCGCAGATTGGTTCTTGACGCAACTGAATGTTCAATAAGTATAAACTGAAATCAGCCCAGCAGAGAGTCCTGGGGGAGACATGTATGCTTTTAGAATAATAAACTTGAATTAATTTTCTTTCGAAGTATTAAAGAAAGTACTGAAGGTTAAAAACCATTCAACTTTGCGTTTATAGAGATTCACAGTTTGGGTATGTGGAGCAAGTACATTCCTTATGATAATTTAATAAATACATTTTGTGTCTTACAGATTTTCGACAATTACTACTTTGGAGATTTTGATTTGAATACGGTTCATCTTTCTCAAAGATTCTCAGTAGATGACTCTGGCTATTATGCATCATCTGGACAAGTCACCATCTCCTGAGGATACAGCTCGTTGGTAATTCCTCAGATTCCATCAATAGGATGAACTACAGGTCACGCTGAGAAACAAAAAAATAAATAATTTGCAGGCAAAATAAAATATTTGTCTTATAAAGAAGAAAAGACCAATGCATCCTTTTTAAGAGTAAAAAAGGATTTAAATAAAATGAGTTTAGGATATTCAGATTTTGGTTGGTTTTTTTTTTTTGGACAATTTACAATTATTGATTGAAAGCAAACACAAAAAAGTTGCAGCTAACAAAATTACAGGATCATCTACTTATTTATTATCATTATTGATAGATAATGAAAGCAATTGTGAGTTGTTGCCTTGCAACACAAATAACAACCAGAAAGCCACATGTTGTTCTGCCATGAGGTTGATCTGTGTAATGTCAGTAAAAGAGATATATTAGATGAAATTGAATAGGATGCCAGGAGTAGTTTGAAACTGGAATAATGTAGAAAATAAAATAAAAAAACTGAATAACCGCCTATCCAGACAGAAGGTATCAGCCATGTGGCGCTGGGTTCAAGTGATGGGAGGGATGCAAGCTTCTGTTGCTGGACAAGGATGGACACTGGGAAACCACTTGCCGATATGCCGTAAGGCTTGGGTCCGATGCGGCGACCCCATCAAATTGGCGGAAGCAGTCTCGTGCAGTATGATACAATGGACTGTCACAGGTATCGGCTGATGAAGCAGAGCAGCACACTTACAAGCCTAGGCATTTTAGAAATTGTTACCTAGCACAGCAGGGAATTGTATGTTTCTTCCTTTTATGTAATTATTGAAGTAAACCCAGTGGTACTAAAATTTAAGTGTAATAGGCAGTAGATATAGCCTGTCGGTATTTAAAAAGTGCACCAGCAGTAGAAATCTGAGTTAAAATATACTTGTCTTGCAATACTCATTTCTCATCGCAGTGTTCTGTACGTCACATATCTTGTGCCACACTTTGCAATAATCCATGCCTTTACACTCTGTGTTAAGCTTGTACTGCTTTAGTAAATTAACTCATATAACATGTAAAAAATGAGTAGAGATGAGCGAACCCGAACTGGAAAGTTCAGGTTCGTACCGAACATTACGATTTTTGGACCCCGAGCCCGGACATTTCAGTAACCGTTCGAGTTCGGTGTTCGGCGATTTAATGGCGCGTTTTGAAAAGCTGCAGGGCAGCCAATCAACCAGCGTTTGACTCATGTGCCCTTAGAAGCCATCACAGCCATGCCTACTAATGGCATGGCTGTGATTGGCCAGTGCAACAAGGCCAATCCTCTATATCTATAGAGTCACATGAGCTCTTGTTAGTGTAGGGAAAGGATGCTGCAGCTGTGAGGGACTGATTAGGAAAGAATTCTGGTGCTGAATCTGCAAACTACAGCGTTTATTTTTGTGGGTGCTATACTACATTTTTGTGCCCTGCCCTGAGCCCAGTGCCACAGAGAAATAAGCAATCAGTCTGTTTGTTAGGTGGACACTTGCAACTGCATGTGTGCCAGGCACATTACTTTAATCCTGTTCTGGTAGCTCAGTGGGCAACATCTAGGCATTTTTAAATACTGTTGTGACATTGCAGTTTGACAAACAAAAATTTTTTGGGTGCTAAAAAGTAAATTTGTGGCGTGCACTTCATATCTGAGAGTCAAATAGAACCGTCAAATACTGCTGTGACATTGCAGTTTGACTAATTCTCATTTTTTGGTGCTAAAAAGTACATTTGTGGAGTGCACTTCATATCTGAGAGTCAAATAGAACCGTTAAATACTGCTGTGACATAGCAGTTTGACGAATTCACATTTTTTTGGTGCTAAATAGTACATTTGCTGCCTGCGGTGCACTTCATATCTGAGAGTCAAACAGAACCGTCAAATACTGTGGTTACATCGCACTTTGAAAAATTCACATTTCTTTGGTGCTAAAAAGTAAATTTGGGGCGTGCACTTCGTATCTGAGAGTCAAATAGAACCGTCAAATACTGTGGTTACATCGTATCTGAGAGTCTGAGAAATAGAACCGTCAAATACTGTGGTTACATCGCACTTGAAAATTCTCATTTTTTTGGTGCTAAATAGTACATTTGCTGCCTGCGGTGCACTTCATATCTGAGAGTCCAATAGAACCGTCAAATACTGTGGTTACATCGCACTTTGAAAAATTCACATTTCTTTGGTGCTAAAAAGTTAATTTGGGGCGTGCACTTCATGTCTGAGAGTCAAATAGAACCATCAAATACTGTGGTTACATTGCACTTTGAAAAATTCAAATATTTTTGGTGCTAAAAAGTAAATTTGGGGGGGGGCACTTCATATCTGAGAGTCAAATAGAACCGTCAAATACTGTGGTTACATCGCACTTTGAAAAATTCAAATTTTTTTGGTGCTAAAAAGTAAATTTGGGGCGTGCACTTCATATCTGAGAGTCAAATAGAACCGTCAAATACTGTGGTTACATCGCACTTTGAAAAATTCAAATTTTTTGGTGCTAAAAAGTACATTTGGGGCGTGCACTTCATATCTGAGAGTCAAATAGAACCATCAAATACTGTGGTTACATCGCACTTTGAAAAATTCACATTTTTTTGGTGCTAAAAAGTAAATTTGGGGCGTGCACTTCATATCTGAGAGTCAAATAGAACCGTCAAATACTGTGGTTACATTGTACTTTGAAAAATTCAAATTTAAACCATCTGTTAGTTTGGTGGGTGAATGCAAAGAATAAGGAGAGCGTCAAATAAGGGACGTGGCCCTGGTCCTAGTGCTGCTGGTGTTGTTGAAGCTCCAGGGAGAGGACTTGGTCGACCTGTGCCAGCTACACGCACAAGTGAAACACCTTCCTCAGGTTCGAGTAGGCGACAGAACCTTCAGCGTTATTTGGTAGGCCCGAATGCAGCTCTCCAAATGGTGAGGCCAGAACAAGTACAGGTGATAGTAGATTGGGTGGCTGACAGTCCCTCCAGTTCCTTCACATTGTCTCCCACCCGGTCCCCTGCTGAAAGCTCAGAGTTGGCACCTGCAGCCCATGGCCATCTGTCTTTCACCTCAGCCCCTTGCAAATCAGCCAAGCAGTCTGAGCCACAAGTCATGCAGCAGTCTCTTATGCTTTTTGGTGACTGTGCTGGTGGGGTTTCCGTGGGCCATCCACCTAGCACTGCTCCAGAAGTGAAAGAGATTGAGTGCACTGATGCACAACCACTTATGTGTCAGGATGTGGACATGCAAGGACCACCGCAGCATGTCTCTGATGATGACGAAACACAGGTGCCAACTGCTGTGGCTTTCTGCAGTGTGCAGACTGGCAAGGAGGGCAGGGTTGAGGAGTGGGTGGAAGATGATGTGGAGGATGATGCGGTCCTAGACCCCACATGGAATCAAGGTCATGCGAGTGATGTGTCCAGTTTGGAGGAAGAGGCCATGGTCACACAGAGGCACCAGCACAGCATAAGAGGGAGCAAGGTGCAAAAGCGGAGCAGCCGTCCCCTAGACAGTACGCCTGCCACTGCCCACCGCACCGAGGGACCGAGCACACCAAAGCCAACTCCAAGGAGTTCCCTGGCGTGGCAGTTCTTCAGACAATGTGCTGACGACAAGACACGAGTGGTTTGCACGCTGTGCAATCAGAGCCTGAAGCGAGGCATAAACATTCTAAACCTGAGCAGACCTGCATGACCAGGCATCTACATGCAAAGCACGAGCTGCAGTGGAGTAAGCACCTCAAAAACCAAGAAAGTTCTCAGGCTCCTCCTGCGTGGTTGTTGCCACTGCACCTCATGCCCGGCCTGGTGGTGTGCGATAGTGGGCGAAATCTCGTAGCAGCTCTGGGCCTATCCGGTTTGACGCACATCCCTTGCCTGGCGCATGTGCTGAATTTGGTGGTGCAGAAATTCCTGAAAAACTACCCAGATATATCAGAGCTGATGCAGAAAGTGCGGGCCAACTGTGCGCTTTCGGCGTTCTCACCCTGCTGCTGCTCACCTGTCTGTGCTGCAACGTAACTTCGGCCTTCCTGCTCACCGCCTCATATGCAACGTGCCCACAAGGTGGAACTCCACCTTGCACATGCGGGAGAGACTGTGTGAGCAGCAGCAGGCGATAGTGGAGTTTCAGCTGCAGCACGCACGGGTCAGTCGCTCTGCGGAACAGCACCACTTCACCACCAATGAGTGGGCCTCCATGCGAGACCTTTGTACCATGTTGCACTCTTTCGAGTACTCCACCAACATGGCCAGTGCTGCTGACGCCGTTATCAGCCATACTATCCCGCTTCTATGTCTCCTTGAAAAAACGCTTCGGGCGATGATGGAAGAGGATGTGGCACAGTAGGAAGAGGAGGAGGAAGAGGGGTCATTTCCATGGTTATCAGACCAGTCATTCACAAGTGGCTCAGAGGATGGGTTCCTGCACCAGCATAGGCCAGGTACACAATTGTCCAGCCAGGGCACAGTTCTGGAGGATGAGGAGGAGGAACCGTGTTCACAGCAACGCAGCTTGTGGGCATCACTGGAGCGTGGCTGAGGGGATACGGAGGACACAGATGCTACACCTCCCACAGAGGACAGCTTGTCCTTGCCTCTGGGCAGCCTGGCACACATGAGCGACTACATGCTGCAGTGCCTGCGCAACGACTGCCGAGTTGCCCACATTCTAACTTGTGCTGATTACTGGATGGCCATCCTGCTGGATCCCCGTTACAAGGACAACGTGCCGTCCTTAATTCCCTTACTGGAGCGTGATCGGAAGATGCGCGGCTACCAGCACACGCTGGTAGACGCGCTGCTGACGGCATTCCCAACTGACACCGTGGGCTCAGTGAAAGCACAAGGCGAAGGCAGAGGAGGAGGAAGAGGTCGCCAACGCAGCTGGGGCACCGCCAGCACCTCAGAAGGCAGAGTTAGCATGGCCGAAATGTGGAAAAGCTTTGTCAGCATGCCACAACAACCAGCACCACCAGCTGATATGGAACGTGTTAGCAGGAGGCAGCATTTCAGCAACATGGTGGAACAGTACGTTGGGCACATGGCCTGAGCTTGCCCTTTATGCCTTGGAGGTGCTGGCCTGCCCTGCAGCCAGTGTATTGTCTGAACGTGTGTTTAGCACGGCAGGGGGCGTTATCACAGACAAGCTCAGCCGCCTGTCCACAGTCAACGTGGCATGGATCCCACCAGACTTGTCTGTACCTTGTGCAGAATAGACATTTATACCTTCCTCACTCAGCCATTGTTATACTCAAGTGCATTTATTCTTTGTTTTCTTTTTTTATATGTCCCAATATTTTGGGGGCTACCCCAATTAAAAATAATAAATGAAAAACAGTGTTGGCTACCTCCTCCTCCTCCTCCACCGCCGCTTCCACCTACACCGCCACGGTTACTGCCTCCTCAACCTCCACATCCACCTCCTCCTCCTAGTTCAAGATTATTATTTTTAATTTGGATGTATTTTATGTTATTTTAAGTTATTTCCCTATCCACATTTGTTTGCAGGGCACTTGTCCTACTCTTACCCCCATTTTACTTCCTTTTGCAGCCCTCTAGCCCTTTCCAGAACTTTTTTAGAGGCATTTTAGTGCCCAAAAGTTTGGGTCCCCATTGACTTCAATGGGGTTTGGGGTCAAGTTCGAGACCGAACTCAAACTTTTTGCAGATGTTCAGCCGAACCTGGCGAACGTGAACATCCAGGTGTCCGCCCATCTCTAAAAAATGAGGCTATCCTACCAAGGAGTTAATACGGCGCGAGGATTCTGTTATTTGAGATCAATCTATATGATCTTCACTTAATCTATGTTAAGGATTATTGTACATATGTTCATATTTGGATCAGTTCATCTATCTGTTCGAGCTCACACCAGTAGTACTAAACTAATCCAGCCCATCCACAGAGCAACCCCAACTGTGCAGACACATTGAAACATTGTATTACAGTATTATTGCTAATTATACATGCAGTGATACTTTTTCAAAAGACTGGGACTTTTATCACACATTAGTTCTAGATACACAGACCTTTCTATTATATGTCAACAATTTTATAATTCATTTTAATTTTTTTAAACTTCACTTGTCCACAATTTTTACTATTTAATTATTCATTTTTAATAACTTTTTTTTGCCTGAATCCAGTTTCAAACTACTCCTGGCATCCTATTAGATTTTACCTAATATATCTCTTTTATCTATATTCTGGCTTTTAGTGGGGGCCTGTCGTTCCAGTTGAGTAGTACCATATTTTCCCATTTTGTCTTTCTAATTCGAGAACTGCAGTAGTGTATCTATTCTATTCTCATTTTACTGTATAATGTCAGGCCTCAAATTAAAATATATCTTTTTTAATGTCATGCTTATTAATAAAATGAGGAGCTAATAATGCAAACTGATCCTGGGGCCCAATAGAACTTTCACACATTACATATTTAAACTGATCATGCTTTGTTAATGTTGCAGTCCTGGCTAAAATTTCCCTACCTGGCTTCCCAGTATCTTGTGCAGCCACTGCACTGCAGTCCCTAAAGCAGACAATTTTGTCCACAAAGGTCACGGTGAATTGTGTTCTAGAAGAACAAACATTGGAGAGAAATTTTAAAAAAATGCTGACAGTGACGAGGCGCTGGCTGCATCCTCAACATTAGACACAAAATAAACCGCACGGTTACAAAGGTCTGTGCTTTGTATTCCATGCATAAAGAACTGCTTCCTAGAAAATGTAAATGTCACTTTAATATCCCCCCTCAGTGATTTCCTTTTTGCTTGTTTAATTTTTAGTCCGAAGACTTGAAAATATACATCCTGGCTATCTGAAGTCCTCCATCAAAGCATTGCTTCGGGCAATTGCAGTATCAGTATATTATGTACCTACCTGTTACTTTATGTTTAGGGCATTTCAATCTTTTACACATGTGCGACTTGTGGTGAATTGGCAGCTGAATTTTAAAATATAGGTCAATAAAGCTACATTTTGCAATTAGTTTGTCTAAGTGTACTGTTTAGTGAACAGGATTACTTACTGAAGTGAAAATTGTCAGGAAATTGAAGTAGATTCAAACTGTATTTAAAATGTAAGGCCAAAGTAGTCGAACTGGCAGCATAGTCACCTTGATTTTTTTTTCTTTCATTTTTGGCTACTTTAGCCTTAAATTTGAAGTTGACTTTGAATTCCTGACAATTTTCCTTTTAATGAATAACCCGTTACATTTATTAGTCATACATGTTTCTTAACACAGTTCATATTTAGGAAGTACTATACAACACTGGGTCATAGGGCAGGTTTGAGGAATGAGGTGGGTATAATGTACATTTTGCTTACACAAGCTTGCATTTGTCCCTTAAACTGTGTTTCAAGGGAAAGTATAAGGAGATACTCATCTCCCTTTTCAATACATTATAAGAATACAGCGATACATAACTTCAAAGTTTAATTCAACATATTGCTTAGTGGGTTTGCCAGCAGCTACAGATAGAACCCTCCTTAACCCCTTAAGGACCAAACATCTCGAATAAAAGGGAATCATGACATGTCACACATGTCATGTGTCCTTAAGGGGTTAAAGGGATCCTATAGTGCCAGGGAAACAAATCAGTTTTCCTGGCACTATAGGCTCTTGGAGTGCCCCCCTCCCTTGGTGCTAAAGGGGTTCAGCCTTCAGCCACTTACCTTAATCCAGCGCCGATGTCCTTCGGCACTGGTGACCACTCCTCCCCCGCCGACGTCAGCTCCCGAGTGGAGCTGAATGCGCATGCACGGCCATAGGCGTTTGCGCATTTAAACCCGCACATAGGAAAGCATTACTCAATGCTTTTCTATGGGGATCTTATTTGACACTGGACTCTGTGAGAACGTCCAGCATCAAATAAGTGTGATTTACTCTGTGTCAATCGCGGAAGCGGCCACTTGTGGCTGTCAGGGAGACCGCCACTGGAGGCTGGATTAACCCTGCAGTGTAAACATAGCAGTTTCTCTGAAGCTTCTATGTTTTCAGCTGCAGGGCTAAAACTAGGGGGACCTGGCACCCAGACCACTTCATTGAGCTGAAGTGGTCTGGGTGCCTATAGTGGTCCATTAACCGTGAAGCAACTCTTATCACCTAAACTCGTGCTGTGCAGTTGTGGAGCAGCTCATTAAAAATAACTCATTATCTGAAAAGATAATGAGCTTTAACATACAGGACAGAGTCATTGCACAGTAACCACTCTAGCAATCTGAAGTGGTATTCGCTCATCGAGTGACTCTTTAAGATATGTAATAAAAAAACAGTTTTTGCCAGTCAAGGATCTGTTTTCTTTTCCCCCCATTAAAATACTAACTGGCATCAAACAAACATACAGATCATCTTTCTACAGGTCACACTTAAAACACAACTTTCACTTTTTTAAGCACAGTGTTGTGTGTGTCTTGTTGCTCACAACAGAAGCCACAGTGACTGTCATGATCTTGAGCAGGTCAGATAGGAGACTTTGGCCAGTTGTTATTTGAGACTTTATTGGTGCTTTTAGACAGATTATGAATCTTGAGAAAAAACAGAATTAAGGCAATATGCCACAAAACAGAATACTTGCAAATAATAAAGAAAGACTGTGATCTCCAAGTAGGGTTGAAACAAAGGCACATTGGTATCAAAGGCAGGCTGGTTACAGGGGAAAGCTGATAACAGAGGTAGGTTTGTAACACAGGAAGGCTGGTAACAGAGGCAGAGGTCAAAATTATAAGTAAGAGTTGAGCAGGTTTGAAGGTAAGTCTGGAGCAGGTTGGTATGGAGCAGGGTTGAAGGGAAGTCTGGAGCAGGGTTGAGGGTAAGTCTGGAGCATGTTCACTGGAGGAGCCAGGAACTGAAGTATTTCAGGCAAATCACCAACGTCAATGTAAAGGCCCTGAGGTTATTGGGTGTACACTTTTGTAGCCAAAGTTGTTAAACATGAGCAGGTGAGATTCCAGAACTAGAGGCAAGGGAGACCACTAGTGGTAAATAATAAAATCAGAGCAGGAACTTGTTTTAAAGAAACAGAAATAAAAGGAACAAAAGTCTTGTTTGTCAGGATATGATCCTGACAGTGATTCTCTTGGTTCTAATTTTCCTTTTGTTTACATTGTTAAGCTGGAGAAACTTTCAGGTAAATGTACGGAGTGTGGAAATGTTGGGAAGTGAAAGAACTTGTGTTTTGCTTAGGAGTTTTATGTTCAAGATAATGAATAAGCACAGTTGACTAAATACAGCGGCCACCCACCATCCACCTAAGCTGGAGCCTGATTACAGCCATTTTCTGAAACGATGTACTGCAAAACTTCAATATCCGTCTAACTTTATTCAGAATTAACAAGCACTTACAGAACTTTATATCTGCTGTGAAATTATGTTTCAAAACCAATGGGTCAGCATAAAAATGTAAGGTAAACAAAAACAAAAATCACAACTGATGAATCATTTGTAAAATCTCACACAGCTACCATGGATTGGAAAAAGATGCCTTCCAAAATGTGTTATATTTATCAAATATGTATTTGTGAGGTGTGAAAAAGAAAATTGAATGTTGAAATCCAATCCTCATTATCCTGCAATTGGGAGCCTCTATCTTGATCTTGTCAGTCATTGTTATGACCTCTGTCCTTTGCCCTTTGCAGTCAGCATTGAGAAAGCATACAAGGAAAATTAGAAATTACTGAGTAAGACTAAGAAAAGTTGTCTAAAATAGTAAAACTGGCTCAATCATGAAAACCAAGCAGGCACATTCCATTGTCTGAGAGCCACTAGAGGCTGTCTTAAAGGGACACTATAGTCACCTGAACAACTTTAGCTTAATGAAGCAGTTTTGGTGTATAGAACATGCCCCTGTAGCCTCACTGCTCAATCCTCTGCCATTTAGGAGTTAAATCCCTTTGTTTATGAACCCTAGTCACACCTCCCTGCATGTGACTTGCACAGCCTTCCATAAACACTTCCTGTAAAGAGAGCCCTATTTAGGCTATCTTTATTGCAAGTTCTATTTAATTAAGATTTTCTTATTCCCTGCTATGTTAATAGCTTGCTAGACCCTGCAAGAGCCTCCTATATGTGATTAAAGTTCAATTTAGAGATTGAGATACAATTATTTAAGGTAAATTACATCTGTTTGAAAGTGAAACCAGTTTTTTTTTCATGCAGGCTCTGTCAATCATAGCCAGGGGAGGTGTGGCTAGGGCTGCATAAACAGAAACAAAGTGATTTAACTCCTAAATGACAGTGAATTGAGCAGTGAAATTGCAGGGGAATGATCTATACACTAAAACTGATTTATTTAGCTAAAGTAATTTAGGTGACTATAGTGTTCCTTTAACCCTGAGAAACTGCAATAATTAACATTGCAGGGTTAGGAGGACAGGGACATTGCACCCAGACCTGATCTGGGTGCCTATAGTGTCTTAAGTCAGATGAGAAGTCTTAATTGTCTGATGTGATGTAGGCAAGGCATGGGCAGTCATGATGATACTCACTCAAACCAAGGTCAAAACCAAAGCATGTTAAAGGACCACTATAGTGCCAGGAAAACATACTCGTTTTCCTGGCACTATAGTGCCCTGAGGGTGCCCCCACCCTCAGGGACCCCCTCCCGCCCGGCTCTGGAAAGGTAAAAGGGGTTAAACTTACCTTTTTCCAGCGCTGGGCGGGGAGCTCTCCTCCTCCGATCCTCCTCCGTTCCTCCCCGTCGGCTGAATGCTCACGCGCGGCAAGAGCTGCGCGCGCATTCAGCCGGTCACATAGGAAAGCATTCATAATGCTTTCCTATGGACGCTTGCGTGCTCTCACTGTGAAAATCACAGTGAGAAGCACGCAAGCGCCTCTAGTGGCTGTCAATGAGACAGCCACTAGAGGAATAGGGGGAAGGCTTAACCCATTCATAAACATAGCAGTTTCTCTGAAACTGCTATGTTTATGAAAAAATGGGTTAACCCTAGCTGGACCTGGCACCCAGACCACTTCATTAAGCTGAAGTGGTCTGGGTGCCTAGAGTGGTCCTTTAATGCTATTCCTAAAGAACACACACCGGGCACACCGGATAAAGGGAAAATTCAAAGTGATTTCTAGATCAAAATAGCAGAACTTCAAGCATAGCTGACTTTTCCAATATGGCCATTTTGAATTAAGTGAATAACCCTGTGTGCGCTACTACATATCAGTGTTTCACTTACTTTAAAAATGTTCATTTGCAACCATCTAAATACCAATTAAAATTTGAATTGCAAAAAAATCAAATTGAAAAAAAACATTGTGATTGTAGAAAATGTTTACAGAAATGTTTGCTTTGGTTTTGCAATGTAGATTTGAATTTAGTACAAATCTGAATTTAGTGAGTAACCATAACAGAAGAAAAAAAAACCCCATGCTAAACAAGTTGTCTCCATTGAGCGTTTATAGCTTTGCCAGATGTGTTTTTGATTAACGGCAGATCTGATAACCATATGGTCTAATGCTTCATAGAATGTTCTGGCAGAACCCACTTTAAAATATTATGTGACCCTTCCATGATCAACCCCTTAGAATGTTAATAATGTCAGGTGTATTTATATGGTTGCAAATTATTATTTTTAAGGTAAGTGAAACACTGATGTGTAGAACACAAACAGCAGGGAAACTCCGACATCCATGAACACAAATTGAATGCAGTGTAATGTTTCTGTTGATGTGACAGCTCTGCTTTCTGATGCTTGATAAGCACAGTTCACCTCCTGACAATGCAGAATCAGGTTCTGTTCTATAGTGAGGTGTGCATTGTTACATCATTCTAAGACACCAATGGCTTCCATGCTGCATTCTATGACATCATACATACACATTGTGTCAGAATCTAGCAAATCTCTAGCAAATACCTTACACATCTATAAAGGCCTGCTGTACCCTACACTTATTGCACCTGCTCTGGTTTGAATCAATTCCATGTACGTTTTCTGGTGTGGCTTTGGCCTTACCATAGAGTATTCTGATTTCTAGTTCCCTGATTTGGCTTTGTATTTGAATATCCTTATTTGCATCTATAATCTCTAACTAATGTTTATTCCATTTACCTGTTAGCAGGTATTATGTGTTACCTCCCTTGTGGTAGC